AAAACGTTTTTCATAACGGTCTTTGGCGCGCAATTAAAAAAGACTAGACTTAAAAAAAAAAAAAAAAAAAAAAAAAGTCATTTTAAGCGTTGCATAAGTATAGGTGTATGTTGTTGGCGATGCACGTGATAATAAGGTACATTGATCAATCACGATTTATTTTCTGCGATCGTCATCAACGGCGTAATTCGAGAGCCGGCCAAGCTCGATTGTGCGGTGATAAAACAATGAGCGCGAAAACAATGGGATAGTACGTTATGCACATGCAAAGACGCCAAGTGCGGACGTTGCGATTGTTAAAGGAAAAAAAAATATCAGCAGTGTTGGAAAAAAAAGAAAAGAAAAAACACGCTTTCATGTACCCTTTTGGAGTACCTTTTTAAAAATGGCAGCGAAAGCAAACTTTCGTGACTGTGTACACGCGGTTCTTTGAAATGAATTTGCTTTGCTGAAAGGATGAACTTTTGATAATATTAATGGTATCTTGTTTTAGTCAACTAATAAGAAAAGAACAATGAGCTTATAAAGTTTTGATGGGTACACTTGACTTTTGTTTCGAAAAGATATTTGAAGTAAAAGTATTGTTGTTAATTTACAATATACCTTTGCTATACTCGATAATTGTGAGACTATACTTTCAATTTATTTGATAATCACACTAGACTGATGAATACCCTATATATGATGAATATACTATACAGTTGACTTGGACGTCGGGGTCACTATTGTTATCGCGCGTTGTACAACCTTTCAAACTTATACCAGCAAGAGTTAATAACATGATACACATGCGGTTACATTTATAAACATTTTATTATGCTTTGTAACTTGTAGCGTTTCGAGTTTGATTAAACAATTTTCCTAATGTAGCACATAGGTTACTTTAGATAGTTTACTAAAATAATTTTTCATTGATTCTTATAGCAACATCACATAAACAAGACGATTATTCTTCAATAACAAAAGAACTATTAAATGGATGAATTCTGTTTGAAAAACATAAGAATAAAAAGGAAGGTTTCGTATATCTAATAAATTCTTATTTCCAACAATGTGTAGTATTGAATGTTCAAAAGATAATGTTTAAACATGAAAAGTATAACGAAAAATCACTTGTTGCTTTCTTCGATAAATAAAATTTTATTTTGTGTTGATACTGTCTAGATAATATAAAATATCAAGTAATTGTAATCATTTCACATTTCATTTGTGCGAGTCAGATGCTAGAAAGAAATAGGTATTTTCCAGTGAGTGATGTTTATGAGTCTGTATCTATACTTAATCAATTGTATGTATAGTTTGAGACAGTGTAATGAGTATACTATCGTTCGTCATCATTTTCAGAGTTTTTCTTTTGGATTCCAGCTACAACATTTGTCGCTCAAATTATCAGCAGTTGATTTATTTTATTTAAATAACCAATCAGTACATAATCTATATCTTTATGCATTGGTAGTTTTCATGTGTTTTTTTTTTTTTTTTTTTTTTTTTTTTTTTTTTTTTTTTTTTTTTTTTTTTTTTNTTATGTTCGATTCTGCTTTACATTCAAGTAGATTATTTCATATGTTGCTTGCTATCATTGTAACAAAGTTAAAGCTGATGCAATAATACCACTTATTTACGTACTGATCTATTTCAGTATCATGAGTGAATAAATTAAGTGCAACAATAAAAATACACTTTACAACTTCATAATTCACGCTATCACAATATTTATACAATTCGGTCTTGGAAGCTAAATAATATTTAGAAATGTTTAAATTTTTATTGTTCTCTATACCAATCTTTCATGTGGTTAAAGTAAGCATTGTTTTATGCTTGAAGAGTATTTTTGTTATAAGTCACGAACATTTCTACTTTATTTTATAAATTTTATAATATTTTATCACACTGGGGATAACCATTTTCCCACAAATCAATGAAATTTTTTATGTAAGTGGAAAAATATTTTTTATTACTACTATAAGATAAACTATTTTAATCTAAGCTTTTCAGAAGCGAAATGCAACGGTATTTAAATAATTTTCTATATGTTTTATGCGCGTGTAGATATGCATATTATGAGAGACATAATATATGAGCATTACATAAGCATTTTATCTTAATTTTTGTAATAAACTAGTATCTGCTTTCAAAGTCCTGTATTAGTTCATAATTCGTTACAAGTCACGAACTAGTGAGTCAGGTGAAATCGAGAGGAGTACATTCTTTGAAGTAATTGAACACGTGTCAATAAGTAAAGCAAATTGGCTCAAAATCATTTGTACAGCTGTCAATATTTTTACTAATTTTATGTAAACATTTTTAAACTTGCATTTTAAACGTGACATAAAATATTCACAGTTATAATGACGAACGCATTTTTTAATTACTTCTTTAACTATTTTTATACATAAAAAAAAAAAAAAAAATAAAAGAAGATATTGCTAAGAGTTTATTTGGACTGGGAGGCTAGGGCTCATATGGCTATTTACCGTAATATATTTGAAGATAAACATTATTAATATGAGAATTGTGACAAACTAACTAGAACAAAGAAATAAAAATAANTTTTTTTTAACTGAAGTTTGTGATACTTGCAAAAGTATTTCTTAGAACTTATAAGCGTAATTCACTGTCGTATAAGGCAATCAAAATGATTTCACTACATCGCACTTTTTTCTACCTCAGCTTACTGATTTTATTGGATTCGATTTTTGCTCGATAAAATTGACAACTCATTTCTCTTTATTCCCAACAGTTTCAACTCATATTTTGAAAAATGACGCTTCACTACCGCCAAACTACAAAGTGACTGATGTAAAAGTACAAAGTGAATACGTTCAAATCGTTTGTGAGCACATAAATTTCGTTAGAAAGCTACTTATAAACCGATTTCATTTTCTTAGGTAAATAACAGGTGGCAAAATTCGTATGCATTTGTACATCTTAATATATATTTACCAGGACTGAGTCAAAAGCTACGTATTACCATTTTTCACTTCCCAAGTGGTTTTATGCTGTATTTATATTGTTATATACAAGTTCAAGGCTCTTTCATTGGGTATACACATGGATAATAAATCTAGTGAAGTCTAAAACCTATGGTAATAATTAATACTACATGACTTTAGTATAGTAAGAATATAGTGTGTAAGTAAGGCTGTAGTGACGTTGTACTGACAGCTTTTGTAATTACTACCATAAAGTCTAGTTCATTTAACGACTGTTACCGGTAAAATTTCTGCCGCAATGTTCACTAAATAAAGTATAGAATTAGGATTGGATTATAAATGAAACGAATCTTTTCTTTACAAAAAAATTACATTTAAAAGGTAATTCATTGCAAACAGTGTTGCAAAATGCTTTTTCTCAAAAAGTCTCCCGAGAGATCTTCTATTTCCTACTTTGAGGTTATACTCAAGGCGAGTAATTCAATGCATTAGATCATTGATAAAAAAAAATCATGTACTGATAAATTACAACACAACATATTGCAATTACTGACATGTATTTATATTTTAATGAAGTATACAAATGATGAATGAGCTGTTTGATAGTTTTGATTTGATTTCGTGATATAGTAACGACATTTTTAGGATTGTTCAGTTTTGTTTCATGTACATTTTTAAATAACTATGATTTATTGAGGTGGTTTCTAATTTTTTTTAAATAACAGATGTATACTTTTTTTTGTATATTAAATATCAGCAGTTTTTTCGTTTATTATTTTTCATCTGATTTTGTTTAATCAAATGGATGCGTTTTTAATATGTTTAATCTAGGTTAATTCTTAAATAATGAGCGTACTTGTATTCACGTACTTTTTTTATCAATGCTAACTTTGATTACTCAAACTTTTCATGATTTCATCCTGAAAAATAACTGTTTCAGAGTTCTACGTTATTACTAAACTACGTTAATGCTAAATTTTTAATTGATCAAGTATTAATTCTATACGCAGAACTTCATAAAAGTTAAGGGAAATTTTTTTGTGCTATCAAATGACAGTTATCAAATTAAATGTCCATGAAATAAAAGTATTGATACATTATCAGTATAATATATCTAAATCGTGTAACAATGTTCACTGATACAAAGTTAACTAGAGATTGGAATTTTTAGTGCACTAAGTTTTTACCTACATACAACCCTGTATTAGCGTATCCACACGAAGTTTTTAACTTTATAATCAATTTTAATTTTTTGCAAGGAACGTTTCTTAGTTCCAAAAATAATTATCGTCCATATTATCCACATTTCACAGAAAACATGGCCCAATGTGTCTATCAGCGGTTTAATAGTATATTACGCACCAAGGGGAAAAAATTACGACATTCCCTCCTGGGAATTTCTCTTCTTTCACCGAAAATACGACTTTTTTTCGTGATTTCAGGGAGAAAAATGCAACATAACCTCTCCAACAAAAATTGCATTTACTGCTTACTAGGAAAAGTATTTTGACTATCATCTGCGAGGAAATTGGAAACTTGAGGAGCCAACCTTGTAGAAGACATCGAAGTACTTTCTCTGTGAGCAGTACATGCGATTTTTTACATGAAAGGAATGTATCATTTTGCTCCCTAAAAACAGGAGACAAAGTCGTACTTTTGGCGGGGTTATGAGAAAATAAAAATATGGTTGCAACTTATATCCACGTGTATCTTGTCTTGACGAGGTTTTTTTACCTGAATGATGCACTGTAACACAAATAATACAAAGGCCATTTGGCGAAAATAGGCTTGACCCGGCATCTCAGAAGAACAAGCACGTAATATAAAGCGTATCTCCCCCTTCCTCTCCTTTTCGTTGACCACTTCATCACTTATCGCGTCGAACCTCGGCTTATCAGCGCGCGCAGGCACGAGATTTAAATTATCAGATAGCTGGTTACTCTTGATAACGTTTGAGAGAGCAAAAAAAGTACATGTACAATCAGTTTTCCATGACAATCGTAATATGACCACTAGTTGCTAAGGAAAAGAAGTGTAATAGACGAAGAAAAGTATGAAAATCGGTACCTCCTTGCTTAAGGGTGTCAGTCTCGTCGATGCGTATGACGAGAAGGGGGAAGATACCGGACAACCCGACGATGACACTGCCGAGCATCGAGAACAGCCAAGGATGGTACTCGAAGTAGAGACCAGCCGAGTCCCAGGATTGCCACAGCTCCCTCGCCGTCCAGGCGCTCTCTAGGTAGCTTCCGGCCGATCTTGCCATCATCGAAGTCGCGCTCGCGGTTGTGCAGTTACTCAGGCACGCCGACGCCATATCACAGCGACGTCGCGTTCCGAGCCCCGAAATTCCTTGGAAACGCACCGCGCGCGCGCGTGCGTGTCTTCTGTCCCTGATAAGCCAGGTGTCGTTAATAATGTATACTTTGCTTTCCTATTTCAACGCGATAAGCTTGACCGTCGGACCCCGATAGCCGGCAATTCGCCGCTTTTGTTTTTTCTCGCTCTTCTTTTACCTCCTTCCTTCGTCCCCTCTCCTTGGCAATCTCTAGATTACAGGGGCTGCTCTCTGAAACTCTCTCTCTCTCTCCTTGGATTATCTTAAATTGGTCGAAGTATTTTTTTATATTTGATTTCTTTTTTCTTTCGTGGAAATTTACTTTGCTTATCTGTCGAGCGTCGTCGGTTCCTTTGCTACACCTATTAGCTGTCAATATCTTGTATGCAGCCACTCGTTTTCGTGAAATTCAATCGAGCTCCAAGAGCAGCGTCGAGCCGGTTGCGGCGATGATTTTCCTTACATCAGCTGATTGTTGCGCGACGCGCGTAATAGTCACTCATTGACGGTCTTGAGTAACTTTTGTTTTAATTTGCCTCTATTGTAACATTAATTTTGAACGACACTTTTCTTTCCTCCTTGTTTTTTAAAATCTCTATTACAACAACAACGGAGTCACGGAATACTTTGTAATAATAAATTTTTCTTCTTTTTTGTACTGTCGGGTGCTGGACTCCTTTGTTTTTCTACTAGAGAACCAAAACAAAGCAACAAACCGCACTTCTGAGAACTCCAATGATTCGAACAAAAAGAGAATGACAACACGTTGCAATTGTCGATTGCTGAACAGTAACAGTCAGGAAGACGTGCGCGGGGTGCGACGACTCGTTGCGACCGACTAGCCTACACTGAGGACTGAGTGCGGACGCCTCGGGTCTTCGACGACGAGGAGGACAGACAAGAGGTAGGTATAGGCGACAGCTAGCTCTTTCGAACCACTGATTGAGCACGAGGTACTAACGTTTATTATTTCATCTCGTCGTCGGCTCGGTTGTACTGTTGGCCACTTTTCCACTACCTTCCGCCTGCCCTTCTGCCCTCATGTGTACGACCTCGAGGTATACGTGTAGTGCGTATGTATGAACTACTAGCAGAGCGTCCTGAGAGCTTTACGTTGTCTTTTTCGCTTTGCAACGATATCGCACTTCAAACACGCGAATGTCAATTGTACTTAGCGGTTAAAATGATGAAATGACTCAGGTGATGTTGTTGTTGTTTCAATGATAACACCGTGAACTTGCGGAGAACAATCCTAACCTCACTTATGACGGAACAGACGATCTCGGTACACCGTAAGTATGACACTGCGGGAGCAACTACGCAGTTGGACTGGTCCTCTGCGCGCGCACTGGATTTTGTTATGCCCTTTCTCAGTTATTCTCCGAGATGACTTGCAGCAATTTCATTGACAAAGTCAAATAAACACTGCGTGCTTCGAACAAGGATGACTTGGCCTTGAAAGAGCGTTGCTCGATGAGATAACACCAACGTGGGCGCAAAAATATAAAATATCTATACGACACTGTGGCTTCGGCCTATCGGACAACGACTAACTAAGAAGTTATAAGTACGCACTACTGTACGGTCGCTCGGCGATCTTTTATATATACCTTTGGTTCTGCCGCTGCTGCGCGGAGCGGAAAAGAGGGAGATACTTGGAGGGGAAAATGATACAGCGCGTGCATCGCGCACTAGAGCGAGGAATGCGAGGATGTGCATCATGTGCACCACCAAACAAACATTCATTAAATGAATATATTAACTATATAAGTAGTTGTTAGGTTAGGTACCTTTTTTTTACACATGTATAAGAGGAAAATATATACTAGGGCAGATCGGTAGATGGGATGACCATTTTTCCACATATACTTACGCTCAATGAAAGAGTTTCTTGGAAATGAATATACGTTATACGAATATGAGATACTTTATTTACATACACAAATGTGCGCGTGCTCGTGCAGTGCAGCACAATCGATAAGGGTATAATGTATGTACCTATGTAATATATACTATGTACATGACAGCGCTGTGCACGCGGTTGTCGCCTGAACCTATAGCTATTGCGATCGGTAATATTGTTTTATAAAGATCGCTTAGACTTTTTATTCGTACTATCGTTTTAGAAAAGTATTTTCCACATAGATCCTACATACATATATACATACATTTGATTAATTTACTCGCGGCTCTGAGACTGTATCACTATTGCATTTCCTCTGAATTGAAGAGTTGGTGATGTAATAATAGACACAGCCGTGAATTAGAACAATGGATTCCGGTTTAGTTCATTATGGACGCTCTCACGACGACAATCGTTTGGTGTTCTTAACAATTTTAAATCTAAGTGAAAATTATCTTAGAGAACAACTAATACGATATAAGAGATGATTAACCGATGATAAAAATTAATAAAGTCCAGGTTCGAGACTGAGAATAAATTTAATAACTGTTAATATTATTGGTTATTATTCATCTTATATTCGTTATTAACAACATGTTTAAATGTAAAAAAAAAATAATTGATAAAAATTATTTATTGTAGCTATTTAATGACAGATTGAACCATATACGCAACTTAGACAATAAAAAAAAATTAATTCATAATAACTATTGTAAAGTTTTACTAACACCATACTATACATAATAATAAATGATTAATATTATTTAAGACTTTATTGTCATATCACACTAGACTGATGAATACCCTATATATGATGAATATACTATACAGTTGACTTGGACGTCGGGGTCACTATTGTTATCGCGCGTTGTACAACCTTTCAAACTTATACCAGCAAGAGTTAATAACATGATACACATGCGGTTACATTTATAAACATTTTATTATGCTTTGTAACTTGTAGCGTTTCGAGTTTGATTAAACAATTTTCCTAATGTAGCACATAGGTTACTTTAGATAGTTTACTAAAATAATTTTTCATTGATTCTTATAGCAACATCACATAAACAAGACGATTATTCTTCAATAACAAAAGAACTATTAAATGGATGAATTCTGTTTGAAAAACATAAGAATAAAAAGGAAGGTTTCGTATATCTAATAAATTCTTATTTCCAACAATGTGTAGTATTGAATGTTCAAAAGATAATGTTTAAACATGAAAAGTATAACGAAAAATCACTTGTTGCTTTCTTCGATAAATAAAATTTTATTTTGTGTTGATACTGTCTAGATAATATAAAATATCAAGTAATTGTAATCATTTCACATTTCATTTGTGCGAGTCAGATGCTAGAAAGAAATAGGTATTTTCCAGTGAGTGATGTTTATGAGTCTGTA